CTCAAAAAGGTTGCGTACCCCTGATCTAGATACTATGTTTCTATTGATGCAGCCTAGAATCACATTGGCTTTTTTTGGCTACTGCATCACACACAGCCATTAGACTGAAATTACTTGAAGGCACACAATAACAACAAAGGTGAACCTAACATGGGGTCTTATTGGCAAGATTTGTTCAGAGGAGGTTTGCCCATGCCTTCCTCTACTCAGGGCTTATTCACATAATGCAAAAACGCCAGTGTTATCTAGGTGCAGCCCTTGACTGACAGCTTCACAATGGCCGCAGCTGAAAAGCGTTTTATGAGCTCTCTTTTCCTTTTCCTTTTCCTTTTCCTTTTCCATGGAGAGCTCAGGAAAGCTACAAACCGTGGGAACCCCCTGGTTTCCTCTACGCACTGCGGCACCTGGTGGCCACTTAGGAAACAGCAAGTTAATTCTGGTGACAAAGGCACGTCAAATTGATTAACATCTGACAATTAATAAATATGCACGGTAAATTCATAAAGTTTCCACACACTATAAAGTAGCAATAAATGCCAAGCATCCTTACTATAGACTGACAGTGTATAAATACCGAGGATGTAAAATATGGCCCACAGAAAAAGAGTTTGTTATATTCTAATTATGTGTTCTATGTATAGTTAGTTATAGTTATAGTTATAGTTATAGGTTATTACTAAAGGGGATAAAATAAAGCCATCTTCCAAAAGACTTCAGTCATTTAAATTACAATGTTTTTGTTTGTTTGTTTTGTTTTTGTTTTTTTTGCATCAATATTAAAGCTTGGTGTTCTTCTGATTAATAAAATTGTCACGGCCATCATACACATACTGTAATATGGCACCTGGTGACCGGAGCATGTCGCTTCACCCTGAGGTTAAAACAAGGCACCCAGCGTTGATGGCACGGCACGGCAGCGGTGGTGCCAGGTGGCACAGCAGGATGCATTGGAACAGATGGCTCCAGGTCTTCTGGGAAGATCTGGAGCAAACAGGGAACTATTTAAGATAAGCTTTAAGAGGCATATACCCTGGGGTCCGGTGCTGAATAGACCAAATGTCATCCAATATGCTTGCACCAAAACTGGGGTTTGGGCTGTGCATTGTCCAGTCTCCCTGCCAATGGGACAGGGAGGGAGGCCAGTTTATTTGGCCAGTGCAGAAAGGGTCCCACTTACATCTGCTCACCTGTTGTGCTGCTATAATGAGGATTTTTGACCAGGCATGTATGGGTTTGCAGTGTTAAAGCACTGCCAAGGCATACAGCCAAATTGGCCCTATGAATACCTTGGCTCAGGCAGCTGGTTTGATCAGGGCCAGTGTCAACCCTGCCATAAGACAGAGTGAGGCGTTCGCTTCAGGGAACTGATTTTGAGTGTGATGGAATGACAGCAAATTGTCAGTTATTTAATTTGTAATTATACTTTCACTGCAAGGGAAAAGCTTATATCCTGCTTCAGGTGCTAAAATAACATGGCTGCCTTTAAGTACAACGTCAGGGCTAGGTTTGCCTTCCAAGGACTCCCCAAAGAGCTTGCCCCCCCAAAAAAAGGGAGTGTACACAAGGCAATGTTCAGAACATGTGTCCATATTCCAGACACATCCCAGTTAGTAATGTATTCCACAGCTGTGATTAAAGCCAGCACAAGATATTTTGCTGCCTGAGGCAAGCAAGAAATAGTACACCATACATCTGCCCAAATCAAGATGCATTGCACAGGTTCTCAATATTTGCTCATTTTTATTAAAATAAATGGATACATTTACTTAAGAGCCATTAAACAATCAGAATGTATTAACAACTGTTATTTACATATTTATTAGAGTTTTCTTTTACTGTCTATATGTCAGTTGCTTGGTCATTTAATAATGGTCAGTTTTGTATGGTAAATTGGGTTGTTGTTGTTGTTGTTTTGCTACTGTGTTTCTATGATGTTCTGGAAGGTGCTTTGAGGGTAGTTTTTCATTTAAAACTGGCCAATAAGTATCTTAAATGAATAAACAAATGAAATAATGTAATATTATTATATGTTGATTGCTAAGGAAAGAGAAATTATGGGATTTCCTGCCTCAGATGCCAAAAATAACCTTCCCCCAGTTCAGTTACTTTTCCATCTCTACTAGGACAGGAGGTTGCTATTGTAGCTGAAGCAGCAAAATCTCTCTGGAGAGCCCTGCACACAAGACAAAAGGCGTTTTAAAGACTTCACTCAACCAGACAACACAGAGAGCCAAGCCACCTGGAAACATGTCACATTTTAAAACAGCTCTGAAATAGTGGTGTGCGTTATGCCATGGCTGCCTGTTTCCATACTGGCAAAATACTCTCAGGGAAAAATTGTTCTTGTCCAGTTCTTGTCCTCAAGCAATATCCTCCATGCTGCTGTATACTGACTTCATATTAATTTGCAGTCATATAGAGAAAACTGCCTCCCATCATTTTGATAAGCTTTGTGTTGTTGTTAACTGCCCTCGAGTCACCCTCGCCTCATGGTGTCCCTGTGGATAAGACACCTCCAAGCCCCCTTCTTCTCTACTGCTCTGCTCAGATCCTGAAGGCTCAGGCCCATGATCACCCAGATTGAATATATCCATCTCACATGTAGTCTTACTCTCTTTCTACTTTCCTCCACCGTTCCTAGCATTATTGTCTTTTCTAATGATTCATGCCTTCTCATGATGTGGCCAAAGTATGTTCAGATTTATATCTTTACACTTTAGGATCTTGTCCCATTCTTTCATAGCTGCCCTTCCCAATCCTAGCCTTTTTCTAATTTCTTGACTGAAGGTTCTGTTCTGCTCAGTGTTTGATCCAAGGGATGGAAACTCCTTGACTATTTTAATTTTCCTGTTATCTAGGCTAAAGTCTTTCATGATGATTATTTTTGTTTTCTTAATGCTAAACATCAATCCTACCTTTGTCCTTTCCTCCTTGATCCTCATCAATAATTGCTCCAGATTTTGCAGTTTCTGTATTGTGTTGTCTGCATATCTTAGTTTGTTAATGTTCCAATTTTCACTCCTCCTGCCTCTGAGTCCAAGCCAGCTCTGAAAATGATATTTTCTCCATACGGGCTGAATAAATAGGATAATTGTATGCTTTGGCCCTTCATTCCAGTTTCTTTTCCTTGTTATTGTTGCATGCTTTCAAGTCATTTCTGACTTATGGCAAC